TTGCGAGGGCACCTAGAGAGGTCCTAGCTCAAGCAGCCTCTGGAGAGCTAACTAGGTGGGGGCCTACAACAGTTTTTGCCAATGGGATCTTTGGACAGGAGGGTGCCTTCTCAGCACGCGCTTCTATCTTCTTGTCTAAGTCCGAAGTCCCCGTAGAGGCGATTGCAACCTCTACTGGCTGTTCCCTTTTGGGTATTGATACTCAGGACAAAAGTGAACAGTGTGGTCGGGGTCATCACACTTGAAATATTGCCCGGCCTTGTGACGGTCATCCCACACCTTTTCATCTATACGCATTTCCAACCAAGGTTTGCCTTCAGCTATTTCCGGGTGCGGCATTTATTGGGGTACTTTTCAAGTTGGCCCACAAGTTGTAGAGTGGCAAAATGGAAAATGTGACGAATTGGTGCGGCATTTAATTCATGGGCTAAATGTTTTTTGCATACTTGTGGCGCATTTGTGTGATGCGCCATGCACACATGGCTGGTGTGCGCGCACCGCGCGCATGGCGCAGAGGTGCGCTACATGCGCATGTGCATGTACTACTCATGCGTCGTGCGCTGATGCGCGTGCACCTGCGGGCCATGCACTAGGGTGGTGCGCCAGATTTGCTGCCTTTTTTTTTTTTTTTCGGTGATTCCACCACACGTCTGAACTTGGACTCATCGGAAAGGTTCTCTCTCTCTCTATCCATCTATTTATCTATCTAGCAAACAATTTAAACATTCTTAGAAATTTCAACAAACAAAAAATGGTGGCCAGCCCTCCCTCCTTGTCATCTCTCTCTCTCTTCATGTCGTTAATGAGCTGCTTCGGCAGAGCGGCCGCCACTGTCACCTGCATGACCGAGAAGTCCACAACAGAAAATGGTGGTCAGCCCCTCGAAGGAAAACCCTCTCCCCTCGTCCAGATCCACCACTCTCTCCTCTAGTCCCCCTCGGCTATGCAACATTCCAGTGAGCATAAAAGAAGGAAAAAAAAAAAGAAAAAAAAAAAGAAAATAAAGAAAAGAAAAGAAAAGAAAAGAAAAGAAAAGAAGAAAAGAAAAAAGAAAAAAGAAAAAAAAACGACGAGCAAATTGAATTGTGGAAACAACATTCCAAATGGAGTATGGAAAAAAAACTGCAAATGTCAAATTGAGATTTGTAATTTGGAACGGATGGCAACTAGGAGGGATGGATGGAGAGAGAGGGAGGAAGGAGGAGGGACAGATGGATGAAGAAGAAGTGAGAAAAGGAGGAGAGAGAGATGGACGAAGAAGAAGGGAGGAAGGAGGGAGAAAGAAAGGGAGGAGGAAAGAGTGAGTAGCGAGTCGACATGTGGAGGGAGAAAGGGAGGACTAAAGAGGCGGGAGAAGTGAGGTGCTGCGTGGAGGAGGGAGAAAGGGAGGGAGGAGGAAAGGAGGGAGAAAGTGAGGAAGGAGAGAGG